TTCAGAAATACATCCATAGTGATTGCGCCTTCCATTATAATAAGCATAAATACGATGGCCATGTACTACGCGTGGGGTTAAGGAAAAAGAGACCCAATATCACAGTGAGGTCGCACTGCACTAAACATTATAGAACTCAAAAGAATGTAACTGCAATTTGAGGCCTGCACTCTCACTCTCAATTCAGTTCTTTTTGGCATCTTAGGCTATCTCCAATAACATTACCCAAAATACAAGACCCATTTCACGTTTGGGTAGCGCTACATGTAAAGGGTTCCGTACCTATTTTTTGTCTTCTCCAACAACAGAACCTAAAAGAGAACCCTTTCTGCAAATGAGTCTCCACGAGAGAGGATACTCATATTTGGGTTGTGCCTTTGCTGTAACCCAAAATGGGTCTCGCATATGGGTGCTCTGTTGGAGGCTGATACAGTACCATTCGAGACCCATTTTGGGTATGGGTGCCCATATGGGACAACCATTGGAGACAGTCTTATGTCCAGATAATTATATAGCCCAGGAAAAAAAAAGTGTAGTTTCTGCACCTAACCGAAAACCTTGGATAAACCAGCAGGAGCTTCTAACCACTGATTCACTATGGGTAGTCAACAAGCAAAACCCAAGTGATGGCAGCTGGTACTGGTATATCAGATAACATGTAACTCCATGTATCTAGCAATTCAACATAGGTAATCAGCAAGCAAACGCAAGCAATGGAGGGTGGTATATGAAACAACATCTAACTCCATGTACCTACCGACTAAAAGGATACACAAGAGAGGCAGTGACCATTTGCAGATTCAGCAGCAATATGCCCAGAGCAAGTCAGCAGGCACAGAAAGATCCCCAGGCCTAGAAATGTGTAGATGAACCTGCATGACCGGTAATTTTTTTCTCAGTAAAACAACCAGTTCCACAGTCTGAAATATTGAAAGGCATAATTTTTCGACATGGTGCTCAAAAATCAGATTTAACTACTTATTCTTAAAGTATCGGTTCCAAGCCGCACTAACATTTTAGATTCGTAATGGCAGCAAAAGCATGGACACTTGGCCCATTTGATTAATACTACAGTTGTTAGGATGAGGAAAGCCATTTGATTAATATTAATACTACAGTTGTTAGGATGAGGAAAGCAATGGCTAAACAGGCTCACTATTTGGTTGTTTAACATCAGCATCGTCATTCTTTGTATATTCTTCATCAGTGCTCTTGTCCTGTTGTCCCATCAATCAACTAACCGCGGATCTACTTTTGAGTTAGGCCGTCCATTGCATCACATCATGCGTCCCGATCTGACGCCACATTGCAGGTTGCAGCCGCCACCAAAAATCTCCTCTAAAGCACAAGTCCAAAACAGCAACACGGAAGCCGATCACCGAGCCACCATGCCCACGGAATAGCACTAGCGTCCACTAGAAGAATAGGACAGTGGTTTCTTCCTTGTCATGCGTCACTAACTGTAGCCAAATCTGCCGCGATAGTGGCATGATGAGACGAGGCCGTGCCCATCACCCCATCCGAAACGAGTAGCCTTTAACTGCCGCAGGAGAATTAAAAAGCGCTTTCGGCGGTGACTGGGTAGCTTCGTGTTGTAGTACGCCAGAGCTTCTAATCTCTCATTCCTGCACGGCATCGTCGATTGGTCGCGGAACTACGTCAAATTCTAATGAAAAAGGTCCGATGGAACAGTACGGTAAATACAGTTTGCTACGAATTTGGCCTGAAAGCAAACGCATTTCACGAAGCGAAGGACAGGTTGGGAGAAGAAATCAAGAACAGCGAAGTTGTGGGCAAGAACATCTGCAAATCTAAGACCTTGATGACTCCTAGAGCGCGAGCGCGAGCGGAAACAGAAACGGAGGCCGAGATCTGCTAACAAGCAGGAAGGAGGAGGATGAGAGAGGGGAGGGAGAAGCGGTTGCTGACCAGGGGACCGGGAGGCGTTGGTGGAGGTGGAGGTCGGCGACCTCCCTGTACCAGGCGCGGAGCATCCAGAGAGCGTAGAGGATGACGGCCATGCCGGCGAGCCCCACGACGGAGTTGGCCGCCTTGAGCGCCGTCTGCACGCAGCTCCGCACCATCCGCCCCGCCATGCCGATGCCGATGCCGCCGTGGCTGACCGGAGCAAGACCTGCGCGGCTCCGACAGCCCAGCAGCGCCTCCCTCTCGTGGGCTCGGCTGGGTCGTCGGTCGGTCCGGCTCACTTTTTTGTTCCGCGAACGAAGCGGGCAAGCGGCGGTCGCAGGATGGAGGCAGCAGCAGCTTGCGCGTGCGGGAGAAGCGGAGACCGGGTGGGTTTCTCCGCGGCCGGGTTTGGTTTGACGTGGGGTGGGATCTTGTAGAAGCGATGGCGTGGCGGATGAGTGGAGCCCCGCCGTGCAGACTGCAGAGAAAGAGAGGGAGAGAGAGTGCGGTGGGAAAGGATGGCGGGGAGTTTCCGACGGCCGACGGGGACGGGTGTAATAAACGTTGCTACGCCTCGCCGTGAAACAGCTTCGCCGTCACGTCCCGGTCGCGCACGGCCGCACCGCATGGGTTGGTGGTCTTCTACGGTTCTGCTTGTGTACCTTGTGTCGGGACTCGGGAGGATGGATGTCTTTTTTTTTTTCTTTTTTTGACAACAAGGATGGATGTCTTTGTGTTTCGTGTGGTTTGATCGTGTGTTTGATTGCTTGACGTTAACATGGGTAACGATGTGTTATGATGTGTAGATGGGAAAGACCTGACGCAGTGGCGCGAGTGAACAGAAATGATCGAGTCAGCACCGTCCATGCGAGATTTTCGTTCTCAATCTAGCGTGCGTGTAATCACTTGAGTGACCCTTTCTCGGTGGTCTCCCTCTAAGCTTTTGAAGGAGAGGAGCGCCTTAAGAGCATCCCCATCACGACACCGTGTCCACATACCTCAACTTCCACGTTAGCATGCATCGTCCATGTAAGTTCGAATAGTGGCTCGGCGGTCCATCACAACTCTTTGCAAAAGTTGCGGCTGCTTCACCCGACAGAAGTGGGAGGCTTATGGGTGGGTGGGCGTTAGGGGCCAAAAGCAATTGCTATCGCCTGACAAAAGTATTGCTATGCGCCTATGCGCTAGGGGTTTAGGATGGCTTAACACTTCTTGTCGATGTGTCGCAAAACTTTAAACTGAAATCACTACTTCTATTGGTTTACTTACGTTGGCCATGCCCTAACCCCCAAACCTTGTCATCTCGAGATGTTCTCGCTAGCTAGTCTAGTGCGTAGCATGGGGAATAGTGTATCTTTTAACCTAGTTTGAGACCAAATCTTAAAGTCGTCTGATGTAAAGTTTCAAGTTAGACGATCGGCACATAGGAAACATGGCATGAATCACTGATTTGGCAAAAGCAAGTCTCACCTGTGTGTTTGTCATGGAGATTTCGACGCAAATGTCTAGTTCATAGCCTTAGATTCGAGGCGATAAATCTGAAATACATGGGTGGAAAAATTAGAGTAAAATGAAAATAAAAATCAGTAAGAAAAAAATCACTAAGGAAAAAAAATCAGTAAGTAAAAATACAAATATAAATAAAAAGGAAAGGAAAAAAGAAATAGAAAAAAAAGGAAAAACACAATACCTGGAACTGGAAGAGAGCGCTCCGTGCTCAGCGTGGACGCCTACACGCTCGAAGCTCCCTCGCGTGGGCCGGCGCTCGAGGCTGCCTCCGCGTGGGCCGCCGCACGCTCCTCGTGGGCTGCTCGCTCCTGTAGTCGGCGGACGGCAGGGTGCCGACCGGTCGCACCGGAAGTTTTCCGGTCCCTCCCTTCCCCAGTTCCCCGTTGCCACGACGGCCCGCGCTCTCCCGTCTCCCTAGTCCTCCGTCGCTCGCGCCGCCGCTCCCCTCCCCAGTCGCGACGACGCTCGCGCCGCCGCCGTCCTCCCCAGCCGCGAGCGCTGCCACCGCCCTCCCCAGTCCCACCGCTGCCCTCCCCAGGCGTGAGACGGAGATTCAACACCCGCGACCGCGAGGCCTTGACTCGGGCAGGCTGGCTTCGTACTAGCGGTTCGCCTCGCCTCGCTTTGCGCCGCCACCGCCCACTATCCTCCGCTCCTCTGTGCGCCGTGCTGCTGTGCCCCGTCTTCTGCTCCTCCCCCTGCTCCGGGACCCGGTCGCCCGCCGTGCCCTGCTCCCCGCTCTGCCCGGCTCGACGTTCTAGGGATTCAGCTGCTTCTCACCTCTGGAAAGGCAGAGTGGCGGACATCCCTTTGCAGACTGTAGCACCTCCTCGTCTCGTCTTATTCAGTGGTGAGCACTTAGCATATTTGGCATTTTACCTAGGCAATGGGCGTTGCTATTTGCTATAACGCAGCTGTTTTGTCAATTCCTTAGATAGAGCAGTACTGAGCATATTCAGTGGAGAGTGAAATTCATTGCAGTGTCATGCCAGTTTCTACTGCACTTCATATTGGGCTTAATCTCGTGTCAGCTTACCTACACATTGCAAATGCTGTTACATAGTAGAGGCATGAAGCACGGAAGTCTTATCTTAGAACTATTTACACCGTGTTCTGTGAAAGTTTCCGACTTATTTTGTTGAATTTAAGATACCAACGAGACCTTTTAAATGTGTACTGTGCTTTTGACAGTCTCATGTTTGTATGCTGAATTTCTTACAAGTATCGTATATGTATAACCGAATTGTTAATTTAGATTATACTCAACTGCATACAGTAAAATTTGCTAGGACTACTCTGGGAAATCCTGGTTCTGTCTCTGGTGTGAGCAGCGCCTCCCTTTTCTTGGGCCCTTCATCAGCGACGACCATCCTCCTGGTACAGCCTTCCCTACCCGCATTGCAAAGCATCCCCACCCTAATTTCTTTTGCAAAAAAAAGTTAGCGGTTGTACAATGTGCACCCATGCCCTGGATCTGCCCCTGGTTACTGAGACTGCTCAGGTGTATGCAATTTTGAAGGAGTCAATTTTGAAGTAACAAAGATTTGGAACCCAGCCCTCTGTTCTCCACCAGCACTTCGAAGATGCCGCAGGTAATGGTGGTGGCACGGAACTTCATGGATATGGTGGCTGCTCTTCCTGCTGGCAAGCTTGATATGCTCTATGACTCAGCCTTTATCTGTGAGGCGGTACTCAGGTCCAGAATCCACAGTTTTTTATAGTGCATTATTAGTTCTTGCTTTCCTCATCTTGATTCAGTTAAGTTAACAGGTCACTTCCCCCACTGGCAAAGAAGTATGCACTGCAGATGTTGTATGTGCTGGCACCGGTGACCGCTGCAGCAATGGAAGAGTGGATGCTCAATGAATACGCTGCCAAGCACAAGGTTGCCATTGATAAGCTTCTCCAACTCAGGGTCTTTGTCGAAGTGCGCGACAGGTAAGAAATCATCCATCTCCATGAAATTCTGGGTATTTATAGCTTGAAGTATCAGCACACTGTAACTGACCTGGAGCAGATCAGCTATTAATGAATCAATTTCATCTCAGTAGTGTTTATCTTTTTATGCATTCATGGGAGCTTAGTTTTTCACAGTTACCAATGCTAATTTTACCAAAATTATTTTGCCCTATGGCAATCAGTAATGCATTTGTTGTTCAGAGCAAGCAATAATTTGCATTTCAGCTGTTATGGCTAGTGGGCTGGCACTGGCCAGGACTATTAGTTCTGCAGCACAGTAGATTAGGATTAGTTTATTCAAGTATGTTAGCAGATAGATTAGTTACTTGCATGGATAAGATTTGTTACCTGTTAGTAGGTTGTTAGGCATGCAAGTAACACATCTAATCCATGCAAGTAACACATCTTATCTGCTAACAAACTTGAACAAAATAATCCTAATCTGCTGTGCTGCGGAACTAATAGCCCTGGCCAGTGCGGTCCACTAGCCTTAACATCAGCTGTGCATGTTTGACAATATGTGTGGTTGTAGCAAACTATTAGGTTGTGACACCTCCTTTATTTATTTAATCAGCCAACCTTTTACTTGTTCATGATGAAATAACCAGTAATCACAGGAAATTTGATGGCTGTGTTGCTAAATTATCATCATGAGATGGCCATGTCTTTGGAGTTTGGATGCAAAAGATTGGGTGCTGATTAGGGTTCTTGGTCAATCACACTTATAGATTTGCATGTTTCTTTACTTTGGCTGAAAGAGATTGTCTTGTATTTCTTGAAAAAAAATTGTCTTGTGAAATATACTTCTAACATGTGAAGGTGAATGGTACGCTTGTATACATGGGCACATGGCTTGGTATGAATGCTTGTTTTTGAAATATCCATACTATTTTATTTAAGGTGGAGAAGCGAGAATTTGTAATGATTGATTAATCATAGCAATTGACTCTTTATTGTGTACTTCTTTGAGAATCCTGCTAACTTATTATTAGCTTTTGCTTGACTGACTGCTGTGCTTAGCACTGCAAGCTTGCTGGTGCATGGTAAATTAATCACTTCCTAGCTCTCATGGTTTGGGTATGCATATATAGGCGCCGGGACGTGAGCTACAAGATGAATCAGAAGTTCCAGGGAAACATGCAGAAGTATTTGGTTGATGGGTATGGTTTTCTCAAGTACTCTTTTCTTTGTTTGAAAATCGCATGGGCCATCCTTTCTCAAACTTGGAGCTGCTACGATGGCATCAGCAACACAGCATCACTGATGTGCTCTCCAGTCTCCATGTTATGTATATACGAAGTGTGGAATGCTTATTCTGCCTTATAAAACTACCCTGTGCCCTGCTTTTATCAATATCAATTGGGAAAACAACTCTACCCATATGGTGTTTTTTGAGGAAGAAAATAATTCACTCCTACAGATGATTGTATTGAAGAAGTGTAGAAAGTACCATTTTGTACATGAAATGAAAATTGTTGCGTAATGGTTATACTGTTCATACTGTTTGTTTATTTAAAGAAACAATCCAACATGACATAGCTCAAGCTGGTGATGTTCAACCTTCTTATTCTACAAAAATAATGTAGCATGATATATCTCAAGCTGGTGATATTTAATATTTTTGTTATGAGTTCTTTTGTGGAGCACATTAATCAGTTGATACAACAACAATAACAACAACATAGCCTTTCAGTCCCAAGCAAGTTGGGGTAGACTAGAGTTGAAACCCACCAAGAGCCTCAAGTCACGGTTTAGGCACTTCAATAGCTGCTTTTCAAGTACTCCTATTCAAACATAGATCTCTAGGTATATCCCAAGCTTTCAAATCTCTTTTTATTGCTTCCCCCCATGCCTCTACCTCTCCTCATATTATTAGCTTGACTTAGGACTCCACAATGCACTGGTGTCTCTGGAGGTCTCATTTGGACATGGCCAAACCACCTCAACCGATGTTGGACAAGCTTTTCTTCAATTGGTGCTACCTCTAGGCGATCACGTATATCATCGTTCCGAACTCGGTCCATTCTTGTGTGACCGCAAATCCATCGCAACATACGCATTTCTGCAACACTCGGTTGTTGAACATGTCGAATCTTTGTAGGCCAACATTCTGCCCCATACAACATCGTCGGTCTAATCGCCGTTCTATAGAACTTGCCTTTTAGCTTTTGTGGTACCCTCTTGTCACAGAGAATGCCAGAAGCTTGTCGCCACTTGATCCACTCTGCTTTGATTCTATGGCTAACGTCCGCATCAATATCTCCATCCTTCTGTAGCATCGATCCCAGATACCGAAAGGTATCCTTCTTAGGCACTACTTGACCTTCCAAACTCACATCTCCCTCCTCCTGTACAACTCCGCCAAAGTCGTATATCATGTATTCGGTTTTAGTTCTGCTCAATCTAAAACTTTTAGACTCGAGGGTCTGCCGCCATAACTCTAGTTTTCTATTTACTCCCACCTAGCTTTCGTCCACTAACACTACATCATCAGCGAACAATATACACCAAGAGATATCCCCTTGTATGTTCCTGGTAATCTCATCCAATACCAAGGCAAAGAGATACGGGCTTAGGCTGACCCTTGATGAAGTCCAATTTTAATCGGGAAGTAATCTGTATTACCATCGTTTGTTCGAACACTAGTCACAACATTGTTGTACATGTCCTTAATGATGGTCACATACTTTGATGGGACTTTATGTTTGTCCAAAAACCACCACATAACATTTCTTGGTATCTTGTCATAAGCCTTCTCTAAGTCAATGAAAACCAAGTGGAGGTTCTTCTTCTGCTCTCTAATCGCTCCATAACCTGTCTTATTAAGAAGTTTGCTTCTGTGGTTGACCTTCCAGGTATGAAACCAAATTGGTTTGTTGATATCTGCGTCGTTCCTCGCAGGCGCTGCTCGATGACTCTCCCATAACTTCATAGTGTGGCTCATCAATTTAATTCCCCGATAATTATTACAACTTTGGAGATTGGTACCAATATGCTTATTCTCCACTGCTCAATTATCTTGTTCGATCGAAAGATATTGTTAAACATCTTGGTTAGCCATACTATAGCTATATCCCCGAAACATCTCCACACCTTGATTGGGATACCATCAGGGCTCATCGCTTTGCCCCCTTTCATCCTTTTCGAGGCTTCTCCGACCTCCGATTCTTGAATCCTCCGCACAAAGCACCTGTTAGTGTCATCAAACGAGTCATCCAGCTGAACGGTGGTGTTCTCGTTCTCACCATTGAACAATTTATCAAAATACTCTTACCATCTATGTCTGATCCCATCCTCCTTCACTAAGAGCTGCTCCCTCTCATCCTTTATGCACTTGACTTGGTTGAAGTCCCCTGTCTTCCTATCGTGAGCCCTAGCGATCCTATAAATGTCCTTCTCTCATTCCTTCGTACTCAAACGTCGGTAAAGGTCCTCATAGGCCCACCCCTTTGCCTCACTCACCGCTCGTTTTGCAGTCTTCTTTGCCACCTTGTACTTCTCTATGTTGTTTGCACACCTGTCATGATACAAGCGCTTATAACACTCATTCTTTTCCTTAATAGCCTTTTGCACATCTTCATTCCACCACCAAGTGTCTTTCGAGTCGCATCCGCTCCCTTTGGTCACTCCAAGCACCTCTGAAGCAACCTTCTGAACGCATGTTGCCATCTTCTCCCACATGCTGTTTGCATCGCCTTCATCATTTCAAGGGCCCTCTTCAATGACCTTTTCCTTAGAGACCTTTGATGCCTCCCCTTCTAATTTCCACCACTTCGTTCTAGCAACCCTAGCTTGTTTGTTCCCACGAGCTTGCACCAGAAAGCGGAAGTCAGCCACCACCAGCTTGTGTTGAATGACCACACATTCTCCAGGTATCACCTTACAGTCCACGCATGTTCGTTTATCCCTCCTTGTAAGGACAAAGTCGATTTGACTAGAGTACTGGCTGCTACTAAAGGTCACTAAATGGGATTGTCTCTTACGGAAGAAAGTGTTAGCTATCATTAGATCAAAAGCTATGGCGAAGTCTAAGACTTCCTCTCCCTCTTGGTTCCTACTACCATATCCAAAACCCCCATGAACCGTCTCGAAACCTGCACTTGATGTACCTACATGGCCATTAAGATCACCTCCTATAAAGAGCTTCTCGCTACTACATTAATCAGTTGATCATATGACTTTTACATTTCTTTTCTTTTTTACTTTTATTGCAGTGGAAGTTTACCAAGGGAACCTTTACCATTAAGTGTCACTGGTCGATTGCCCACTCCAGCAGATCTGGAAGCCTATGCTCTTGATCAATGGGAGGTTAGGATGCCAAAGCTTAACTCAGAACGTGTTTACCATGCCTGCCTGTATTTTACTTTTCTTTATAGTATCTTCACCGTCTTCTTTTCCTCTTTGAATCCTGTGTTGGCTTATATATATAGGTATATATATATGATTTTTCTATTTCGTGTTGGGATTATAGTGCTTCTTGTTGCAATTGATCAATTCATCCCAAGTCGAAAAAGGGACAAGTTTTAGCTCCTCCATGATGAAGACATTTCAGCGTGGTCTTCTGAGTTCAAGGTTCCATCTAGTTCCCCTGTCTTGACAGTTAGGTTAGTTTCTTATAAATTAGTGATAGTCAAATGTTGTTTGAACAATAATCAATTGCCAAGTTGCTGCAACTCTTTATTTCTTGTAGTACAGTTGGATAATATATCCTGTGGCATTCTCTAGAATTCTACATGGTAATACATACACTAAACAGTAAGCAGTAACTACTCCCTCTATTCCAAATTATAAGACGTCTTGGCTTTTCTAGATACATAGTTTTTGCTATGCACTTAGATATACACTATGTCTAGATATTTAGTAAAAGCAATGTATCTAAAAAAAACCAAAACATCTTATAATTTGGAAAGGAGGGAGTAGTAAATTCAAGTTTATGGGGGCTGACAACAAATTGCTGTTAGTTTACTGTTCTATTTCCTGGTTGTAAGAGTTGATTAAACGATTCAGTTCAGTTGAATGTTTTTTTTTGGTTAAAATAATCAAGATATTTGTAAATCATGTTTGATATCACCAACCATGTACAACATTTAAATCATATTTTGATTTGTTGCTGTATGTTGACCAGCATCGCTATATATTTTTGATTGACTGATATAAGCGATAATTTTTATGATATGATTTCCTGATTTGGTGTGCTTGCAGGGACGGTGAAGCTTCAAAGTTGACTGAGAATGGCTTCCAATTTCTTGTTAGTTCTCTGTTCTCAGCTAATACGTTAACCGACAGATTTCCGTCTTTGGCTCTTAATATTTTCTATGCTATCAGCTGATGGAAACAAATGCACAACTTTGGTACATAATGAGAGAATACATTTCATCTGCAGAGGTATTGGTGTCGTATCCTTGTAATATTTCTGTTGATTCACGTTTGTGACTGTTAAACTCTGTTGCTGATTATTTGTGTTATCAAATAGGAACGTGGAGTGGACCCTACGGAGCTGATATCATTTCTCTTGGAACTTAGCTTTCATAAATTGGGAGCGGTAAAGTGATACTACTTTCAGAACATCATGTTAAGCAAGTAGCTGTACACAATTTTCTTGCCAATATGGTGATGTCTGTGAAAACTCCTATATTCATAGCAACTTGTCCTTTGGCAATACAATACATGAATAGGAAAAATGAAGTTCTCATAAGTGATATCAGATGAGCATCTTGAAGAAGCTGTAACTATTCCACGATTTTTACATGGTAGGAACATCAAGCTTGCATGTCTGATTAAGAGTTATTGAAAAAAATTTAAAGGCACTGCATTCTGAATCTAATAAATGAAATTAACCTGCATCTTACGTCGAAGTTTGTGCTTGTATGTTGGTAGAGAAATTCATGGCCATGCATTCTTTCTGCTTTGTTCATGTTTCAGGCTTATAGCTTGAATACTCTGAGTGATATCCAAAGGATTGCCATCAGGGATCTTGCAGAATTGGGACTAGTCAAACAGCAGCAGGTAGAAATTTTATCTTTTGTTCTTTTGCCCCGACCATCTTTCTGATGATAATAGCAAGTTTTGAATTTCAGGGTCGAACGGATCGCTGGTTCATTCCTACCCAACTGGCTACTAATCTCTCAGCAAGCTTGTCAGATTCATCATCTAACAAAGAGGTTGCATAACATTTGCATCCCTTGCTTCTGCAATTATTTATGTTTTTCCAAATCTTCTCTATAACCTCCACCTACTTGTCCCCTATAAGCAAGCAGTGATCATGATTATAAAACATGTAGTGTGTTGCCGCAGGGATTTGTGGTTGTTGAGACAAACTTTCGAATGTATGCATACTCTACTTCCAAACTGCACTGTGAAATTCTACGCCTTTTTGCAAGGTACATGAGATATCTTATGACCATTTTTTAATTAATGCTATGGAATCATAGCAGTTATCACGTAGCTCACTAGCTCCTGTCAGAGGACTACATTCTTCTGTTTATTAATGTGCTTACATGCTATATGTCGCATGCAAAGAGGGCAACTGATGTGTCAACTCTGTGGGCTCTGTACTAAAGTTCGATTATCTGATTGTTATGTCAGTATATTTTAATTCAGTTAATCTGACATTCCTACTAGATTGCTCAGTGGTCACTGTTGTGAGTTTCAGATAGATGCTTGTTTAGTTTTTTTTGGTTTTCATAAATTAGATTGCATGGGTTAAGCTTCTAGTGTAATCCAGTACTATATCTAGGCAAAACTCTTGAATTACTAAAATAAGCCATCTGTAGACATTTCTTGGAGGTGGTAGCACTTTAGAGTTGTGGTACTGTTGGTGTCTTGCAGATCTTGCTGTTTGAACCACCTGCATCTGAAAGTATTGTTGTCAGCTGTGCGCTGTTGGCTGTATTGTGTCCAGATGGTGCTTTGCCACCTTGTGCTAGCTTTGCAACAAACATGGCAAGGTGAAATTGACTTTTGTATCCTACTACTGAGGTTGATTAGAGACTAAGATTTGATACTGAAAACATGGTTTTGAATGAATTTAGTTGACAGGATTTGTTCTTAGGTTTCATTATATTGGCTATTTGACCTAATTAGTTCTGTAATATTACTTTGTGTGATGCCAATATTTTTATCTTTGTTGATGCGCTCATTTATTCTGAAAGGAAAGTATTCAGTGTTCACTTTGTGTTTTCTTTCAAGGGTGGAGTATCAACTTCCAAACCTCATCGTAGGAGCTGTTACAAAAGAAAGTATCTATGGTGCTTTTGAGAATGGAATAACTGCTGAGCAGGTACAATAATACAACCTCCGTTTACTTGTAATCTTAAAACGTGCACAGCCGATCTTCTAAAACTGTGGCCAACTGGCCACTATATGCATCAAAGTATGGTAGATTGTATTCATGTGAAATGAGGAAAATGTATAGGTATATTTGTTATCAAAAGTATTGACACGTATCTAAAACTTGGAATGGTCATTGGTATTTATTGTTATGGAGCGGTATAGGGAGAAGAAGAAGGACCTACACATGGTTTTTATTGATTTGGAGAAGTCTTATGATAAAATACCAAGGAATGTTATGTGGTGGGCTTTGGACAAACATAAAGTCCCAACGAAGTACGTCGGGCTCATTAAGTGATGGAGACACGGATGACTTTCCGATTAGGATAGGACTACATCAAGGATCAGCTTTGAGCCCTTATCTGTTTGCCTTAGTGATGGATGAGGTCACAAGGGACATACAAGGGGACATCCCTTGGTGTATGTGCTTTTCATGAGACGATGTAGTGCTAGTTGATGAAAGTCGACGAGAGTGAATCGTAAAGCTGGAGTTATGGCGGGAGACTTTGGAGTCCAAAGGTTTTAGACTCGAAGAGAACTAAAAGCGAGTATATGAGATGTGACTTCGGCACTACTACTCGGGAGGAGGAAGATATTAGTTTGGAAGGTCAAGTAGTGCCTAGAAATGATACCTTTTGATATTTAGGATCAATGCTACAGAGAGACGGGGATATTGATGAAGATGTTAGCCATAGAATTAAAGCAGGGTGGATGAAGTGGCGCCAAGCATCTGGTGTCCTATGTGACAAAAGGGTACCACAGAAGTTAAAAGGCAAGTTTTATAGGACGGCGATTAGACCTGCTATGTTGTATGGTGCAAAATGTTGCCCTATGAAAAGACGACATGTTCAACAGATAAGTGTCGCGGAAATGCGTATGTTGCGTTGGATTTGCGGTCATACAAGAAGAGATTGAGTTCAGAACGATGATATACGTGATAGATTAGGGGTAGCACCAATTGAAGAAAAGCTTGTCCAACACCGGTTGAGATGGTTTGGACATGTCCAACGGAGACCTCCAGAGGCACCGGTGCGTAGTGGAATCCTAAGCCAGGACAGTAACGTGAAGAGAGGCAGAGGAAGACCGAAGTTGACTTGGGTAGAGGCAATAAAAGGAGACTTGAAAGGATGGAATATACCCAAAGACTTAGCCTTAGATAGGAGTGCTCGGAAAACAGCTATTCACGTGCCTAAACCTTGATTGCTTCTGCTGGGTTTCAACTCTAGCCTACCCTAACTTGTTTGGGACTTAAAGGCTTTGTTGTTGTTGTCGTCGTTGGTCATTATAATTTATTGTGGAGACTGTCAACCAAACTGACGAGTAATAGACAGTGTGTGTAGTATGTTAAAATCCGTTATGACCTATCAGAATTTACAGTTTCTTTGTTAGACATAGTGTGGGTTTCAGTAACAGATTTTGTCCATCAGCTTAGTTTCTATTCTTTTTCTTGTCTTGAAAAAGCAGTTGTAGGGTATCTGTGAAAGCAGTCTTACATTTAAGATCTAGCTTGCATCTTGTTTTAACAAGACTGGTTATCTTCTTGTTTTTCAGATAATTTCATTTCTTAGACAAAATGCTCACCCTCGTGTTGCTGACAAGATACCCGTTGTCCCGGAGAATGTCACAGATCAGGTAAGAACCGTGGCCAGGCAACACTTACTATGCTTTATTATTATACAGTACATTAGTAATTCGATGCTCATATATTCAGATTAGGCTGTGGGAAACTGACCGCAACAGGGTTGAGATGATTCCATCACATCTGTACGAAGATTTCCCTAGCAAGGTAAACACATTATTATCTTTACCATGCATCTGCCCAAGGGTATCTGCCACATATACTGCTCGCTTACTTTTCTGGTACGCTGGCAGTGCATTTAATTCGACTTCCTCATGCAGGAATGGTTTGAACAATGCTGTGATTATGCAAGGGATAGTGGGTACTTGCTCTGGGAGGACTCTAAGAGAATGAGACTGATTGTACGAGGGGAGTTCCACCCTGAAATGAGGGAGTTCCTCCGCAGGCAAAGATGAAAAAAGACCTTGTAATAAAATTTTTGTTTAGCTACCCACATAATGTGTTGACATAGCATCTGACATCTTTACTACAGCTGTTAATGATGCAGAAAATTTACAATTATCTTTCTTTCGTTTTTTATGCCTGCAATTTCTCCTGCAGTCCATGTAACCTTTCTTCGCTAATTGGTTCCTATAAGTTAGATTGACAGTGATATACCCACCTCTTTACTTGTTAAATTGAGACTAGGCCAAAAATCCGTCAAATAATTACATCTTATTATCTATAAAATTAGAAGTTTCTGGAAATGCTGTGTAGGATCTTCATTTGCTTATATCAGATAACACATTAGAGTATTTCTTTTGCCATGCAAGCATGGAAGGAAGAAATATGCGTCCATATGGCCAAATCGTGAAGGAGATTCAGACCATGGCTCATGATTTTCTTTTGGTTGATTTTGTCCATGAGAATAGGAAATCAAATGTTGATGCTCACACTCTAGGAGTTTGACTTCTTTTGATACAGGCAGGCATGTCTGATTTTTAGAACCGTCTTTGGGCATTTGTAATTCTGTTGACCAAGTGCATCAATAAAGAGGGTGGTGATTTCTCAAAAAAAAAAAAATTGCATCCTTTTTTGATGTCATGTCTTGTTTAATAGAAGGTTGCACATGATGTTTAGTTACTAAGGGCCTCACCAAGTGAAAATCTGTCCATGACCAAATCTTGGTCATGGCCAAATTTGTTACCTTCAGATGTTTGGACAAATATTTTTGATCTGTCCATTTACGAAGATTTTATCTTCAGATGTTTGGATTCGAGCTAAGCCATGCCAAATTTACATTATTGTTGACTGACATGTGGGTCTGGTGTGTTAGTTTGACACCATAGTCAATATGGATCTCTATTTGTAGATTTAATTGTTTTGCAAATATTGTCGTTTGAAGCATAGTAATCCAAAGCTTAGCATATTCATTCAGAGCGTGTTTGGTTTGAGACCTGGCAAATAGGTCACCTGCCAGGTAGCAATCCCAGCCACCAGGCGACCGAAATCAACGGCCTAGGAAAGCTGCCTGGGTGTGAAACCAATCACGCCGTTCATGCACCCAATATCAAGCTGACACATTCGCATCTCTAGCTCCTCTGCAGCCAAGCCAAATCCAGGCCAGCAATTCGGACAAGAGGTGTCTGCTCTTCCTATTAACTCTGCATGGGCAGCGCCAAAATTTTTTTGGCCATGCCGAATTTTGAGTCCTAACCAAGTGAGCCAAAATGGCTTGGCAAGTGGCCTACTAAAGGCAAGAACCAAACAGGCCCCAAATGCATGGCACCTCTGGCTTTGTGTTTTACAAAATACTGTGCATGATAACATAGTTCTAGTCGTATGTATATACTGTATTAGTTGCTCTTGTCACCTTGAGAATGCTGTAACCTAATCTCTCTAACTTCATCAAGCTATTTCTAGACAAAATATGCTTTGCCATACCGCTCGCTTGATGCAGTGCTTGCTCATTTCCTGCATTTTCTTGATGATGAGAGGATCATGCGTGTTATATGGCATCAATCACAGCTTGCATTTGTGGAAAGGTTAGTGATGGATGTGTAGACTCTAAAGCATGTTTTCTCTGATCCGAAATGCGTAATCCTTTTATTTGTGACATGCTGCAAAATAACTTTCATGCTTCAATCAAATATGAAAAGTTCTCTTTAAATTCTCTCTTCCATTACTTTGCACATGTCGTTGTTACCTGGGACAAAGTTAAATTGTGGTTATATAATTTGAACATGTTCTTTTATTGTGTGAGGCCCAAGCCTCATAGTTGCACTTATGAGCTCATGACTGAATTGATTGCAGGTGTTGATTTACAAGTGTCCTTGTGCACTCTCTCACTGCTTCCGTCATGTATTTCACCCTGAAAACTTCATGACAGATACAAGAATGAGTAAGAGAAAAATGATAGGGAGAAACTTGCACGTTTGTTGGATCACCAGAAGCACTATTTGGTATGTCACTTTACATACGCATGAATATCAAAGCACCATTTACTGGATTTTCTTGGTTAACTGACATGTGCTAATGCTTGAAACATTAACACTCTCTAAACAGGAAGCCTATTGAGGAAGACAGTGTGCCAATGGAGGATGATTAGTCGCATCACCAGCGTCGATTTATGTACAGTGACAGAACCCCAATGAAAATGAATAACCAAATAAAGTATCTCGTAGACCATTGCAACACGTATTGAGAATGAATAACCAAATAAAGTATCTCGTAGGCCATTGCGTACATGTATCAAGATGGAATCAACAGCACTTCATTAGTTGCCCTTCAAAAAAATAGATGCAGACACTTAGGGCATGTTTGGCAACATTGTATTTTTTTCATCTATATAGACATTCCGGTGGTATTTTTTGTGCAGAACAAAACCCTTGTCCCCTGTAAAATGATGTTTGGGTAATCATGTCCACGGGTTCTTCTCTAGTCTCCATTTCCCATTCCGGCATGAACCACCAGAGTGACTGACGCCTTCTAAGTCCAAAAGAACCCAAAATTTTCTATCAAACTATAATGTGTGCTCTCAGATCTCAGGCCGCTCGACTCATCAATCGCATTTGCCAAATATTTTATAGCAGATTGTCAGGAAGAGGGCAAGAAATTTCAGAGAACTGGAACTTTCAGAACATGCATTAATTGGAGGCAAAAGCAACAGATTTTGTTTCAAAATCAAAATGGAACTCGAAATTTTCGGACCAGAGCTGAATCCCAGAGAGAGATGTGTCCGTGACGAATACGGAAGAGCAAAATTGAGCTCCCTCCGAAGTGAGAAGCGCTCAGTGATGCTCATTGGAACTTAGGCCGGCGGCCATGGCAATCGCTACCCAGGCATGCGGATCGAGCCTGTCTGCAGGGATTGAGGTCGCCATGGACATGCAGGTCGAGGCCACCGAGGATTTGGCTATGTGGATCGAATCCGCCGCTAGGTATTTCATCGCGCGTCAGCTATGTGGATGGAATCCGCCGCCAGGTATTGCGTCACGCATCTAAACGAGGTCTAGAACAACAACGCTGGTGGGGGTTCAGGATACAGGAAAGGAAGAAGAGATAGCCAGCGTTGGTGGGAATTTGGCCAGTGAGCTCCTCAATGGCGACGATGTGACATGATTATTTTTTTCTGACTGTATTAGACCAAACCAGTTGTAAATTTTTTGTGCTAACCATTCATCCAAACAAAACTTTAGACGCTGCCTTGGAAAACAATTTACAGGAGTTTTGGTCTAAAAACATGTCTTCCAAACAGAAACTATCTTGATACACAAATAGATCCAGTTCAACAGATCAAGGATGCTACTAGTACTGGATGACCAATAGATCGATCAAAACATGAACATAAGGATGCTACTAGTATTGCATGATCAACAGATCAAAAAACCAGTCCAACAAATCAAGGATGATACCGCATGACCAATATATGTTTGCTTGATCGTATCAGTCATGCTTATCAGCCATGATACAATATTTTTCTCTCACAACAAAACATCATCAGCTGGCTTATAAGGCACGGAGACGATCAAGCGAACAGGGCTATGGATACCCCACTTCAAGTACAAGCTACTCCATGTGGATAACCCTACTAGTACTCCCCCCCGGATCCCGATCCTGTTTAGTGTGTTTACGCACAACGCCGGCCCACCAGAGCATTAGCCACCGCTCGTGGCTGAAAGGATCAAAATGCCTAGAGGGGGCGGGGGGTGAATAGACGTTTCCTAAAATTTACAAACTTTTGCAGCGGATAAAATCACGGGTATTGAAATTCCCGGTCCCAAGCGGAATTAGTGCACTTGTCGAAAATTCCGGTGAGGACCGAATTTTCGAATCGCGGAGAGTAGTGAACTAACTAATTATGAATTGAAATGCTCAAATACTAAATTGAGTTCACCACACAAGTAGAGTAGGAGTACTAAGTGAATCCACACCTTTTACTTGCTTCTTCACCTACACACAATATATATCTTGCCACCACAACAAATAATACAATCACAAATCACAAGCACACAGAGACACACAAGTATTTATCCCGAGGTTCGGTCACACCACAAAGTTGTGCCTACGTCCCCGTTGTTGAGGCAACCACAAAGGTCCTTAGAGTCTCTTTCAACCCCTCTCTTCCCAAGCGACCACAAAGATCAAGCCGGGGTTTCCACTAGAATCAAGGGTAATACAAACTTCTCGGGCGCCCTCACAAGTACGAGTCACAAGCGTCACCAGGCAACACCTAGCTGGCTAGGGTTCCAAGAACCAAGAGTAATAGAGATAAAATCAAATCGCCGTCGGGTGCCACAAGTGCTCAAGAGAAGGATCTTACTCCCGGAGTTGAAATCCACGAAGAACTCACTCCAATCTCACTCACAAAGATGGGAATCCAAGCAAGAGTGAGAGGGAGTGTTGGAGTTTGAGAGAGAGAGATAGCTTTCTTTCTTGATCCAAGGTTGCAGGAGATGAAAAGTGAGCAAGAGAGGGAGAAAGAAGGGGGCGTGCGGCTCCTTAACCCCACAGCCGGCGCTTGTGACCGTTGGAAGAAGTAGATCTGAGCTAAACAAGAATTTCTTGGTTAGAAAAGAAAATTGTTGGTTGAGGTCTTACTGTTGGGATGAGGGCCACCAGATTTTCTTGTTGAGGCATGATAATTGCTGGTTGAGGGTTCTCTATAGGAAGGAATTGAGAATTGATCAAAGGAAATATTTTGTGGGGTGTCTAGGATTGATCAATTAATCACTTAAGGCACCTGCAGGTAATATAATTTTGATACCTCTTTATAGTACGACATCCTATAACTCAAGTGAAGTTCAAATGAAATATCAAATTAAAAGCGAACTTCTCTCGAATTGAAGCGTGACGCCGCATCTTTCTTTGAAGTAATAATTGAGGGGTCTCACGTTTCAATTGCACTTTTCACATTGGTATTTAACTGAAAATCTCATGAAACATCATTAGCTCTTTATATGCATCGTCATCTATTCACCAAAACCCACAAATAGGATTTGATGCACTTACACTGGCTCACGCCTCGAGTGCGCCCGCTGGCGCCACCGGAGCCGCAGCCACGGGATTGCCGCCCTCTGGTCCTGCCACCTGCTCCCCGGTACCAGCCGCTGCTAGTGGAGCGAAGGTAGCAGCCGATGATAGGACGCCAGCGGCCAGGGGCCTCGACACCAGCACTGCGTCGCTCCCGCCATTCGACTTCAGCACCACCATCATCTTCAGGGGAGCTGGCACACGGTTGATGGACCTCGCCGTCTCCACCGTAGCCGAGGAGGTGCACGCGCGACGGCGGTGGCGGGGGCACAGTCACTTCCCATGGTGGCTGGATATAGGTGGGGATTGGCTGCTCTCGACCTCTCGTGCTCTGGGACAGGCTCTGGGGTTTTGGAGGAAAAGGAAGAAGAGGAAGAAGGTGAGACCGTGAGATACTGAGATGGTGAAACGACTGGGGCTTTATAGCAAAGTGACATTGGTCTCGACTTCGAAGTTGGGATCTCGTCTTCTTATAGTTTCACCCTTCCTATGTCTTACTTTTCGTTTTAGTCATGCATTCGAACTACTATAGGACGGCTTGGATTAGAATATTTTAGTCCTGCAATCGAACTACTACCGGATGGCTTGCATTAGGATAAGACCAAGTGTTTCTCTACCATTCCTTCTGTCTATTTTGAGATCGACAAAAAGAAAATTTTAAAATATATATTATATTAATGTATGTATGTTGCATAATTTTTTACTCAATGAATATAGTCATAAATCATGTTAATTTTAATTAGATCTATTTTAAAAAAATCATATCTCTTATTGGTCTCTAAAGAAGATTAGATGAAATTTTACAAACTTTGATAATTTTGAGAGTGGCAGAAAGAAAATCAGATCTAAAGATTCTGAATTATTGTTCCATCATTAGTTGAGTGTACCTCAGAGCCACAGTATTTATTGATAGAATTCTCCTTTCAGAGAGCCAACTCAGCAATGCTATTGAAGAGCTGAAAGCTACTAACTTGGACTTGACAAGGCGTTGTGAGTCTCTAGAGGAGAGCTTCAACAAGGAAAAGTCCGAAAAACAGGTGAGGGGGTGATCTTGTTTCACTGTTGTGATAACTTCTATATTTCCAACTGGAGTTTTATATGCTCAATTGTACATGTGGCAGATCGCTGTGGAGTCTTACCTGAAAGAAAATCAGGAAAGGGAATCAGCTGAGAGTTCACGAGATGTGCTAACTGTTGACCTAGAAAGGGTCACTCATGATGCTAAGCGGTTTAGCGAGCAGGTAATGGTTGAAAGAGTCTTTTTTTAGAAATGGTGAATATAGTCTCATTGAATATTTTCACATGGTTTTGTATCTTGAAACCTGTTTGTTAACATAATATGTGTTGTGAATTCTCAAACCAGCTAAAAATGGTCCAAGACACGAATAAAAGGCTTCAAGAATACAACACCAGCCTGCAACAATATAACAGTAACCTTCAGGCTGATGCCTCAAAGAGTGGTGAGACTATCTCAAAACTTTAGAAAGAGAAGAGTGCCATTATGGAAACTATGGCTATTCTGAGAGTTCCACTAAATATATTTGATCGACAATTTATTTAATTTTACATGCTGTCATAAGAGAAATCATGGACTATTCAGTGAATTTGGATAGTGATTTTGTGTTGTAACCTCTTTACAGATGTATAATACACAATGTGTGACATATGTGTGTATTTTTTAAGTTTGATATTTTTTAATGCTCTTTTAGGTTTCTCAACAAGAAGCTATTAGAGTGAAGGAAGAGCTCAGGAAAGAAGTGGAGTGCCTTAGAGTTGAGTTGAAGCAAGTTAGAGATGATCGTGATCATTCAGTTATTCAATTGAACAGTTTGAATATTGAACTTGGTAATTACAAGGAAAAGATTGGTAAAACTTCAAAAGAATGTGAAAGTTTTCGCAAAAAAGTATCTGACCTTGAGGTTTGTATCTTTAGGTTTATACTCGTCTCTGTTATGCATAACTATTGGGCTTAAATTGCTCTCCATTTTTAGGAAACGTGCAATACACAACAAGAACAGATTCGGATATTTCAGAAGCAGCTTGCAGTTGCGACTAAGAAGTTGAAGGTTAGAAGTTGAAGCATATCATACTAGTGTTCTTTATGGCTTCACAAAATATATACACTGTTCCATTATTTGTCATCTCAAAATTGATACAATTATTCAATTATGCAGCTCGCTGATGTAACTGCGATAGAGGCGATGACAGGATATGAAGAACAAAAGGAGAAAATAAAATACCTTGAGGAGCGTTTAGCACAGGCAGAGTGTCAAATTGTGGAAGGTGACGAGTTACGGAAAAAACTCCACAACACTATATTGGTAATATATCTGAAAACATGATTTCTTGCTCTGTCTATATATAACATGTTAATAATTAATTTGGTATTTATTGGTATGATTTTCTTTTCTCAAAAAAGTTTTTAAATTAATGGTTCACGTGTATGACCTACTCTCTAGGTAATAATCGACCTCATATTTGCAGGAACTGAAAGGAAACATTAGAGTTTTTTGTAGAGTTTGGCCACTTCTTCAATTTGATGGTGATTCCAATGGTCCAGAAGGTGCCTCTATCTCTATTCCAACATCTGTAGAGTCTGCTGGACGTGGTATTGATTTGATAAGCCAAGGTGAATGATACGTTCAACTTGTTATTTCTTGGGTTGCCCAGTAAATTTTGGATAATGACACTAGTAAGGTGTTGTCTTTTTTTTCTTCGTTGTGTAGGTCAAAAGCTCTCCTTCTCATATGACAAGGTTTTTTACCATGATGCTTCACAGGAAGATGTGTTTGTGGAAATATTGCAACTAGTCCAAAGTGCCCTTGATGGGTACAAGGTACTAACTTTGCATGGCAACATGTGCTAATGGATAGTATATTAAGTATGAATTGTCATCTTACCTTTTAAATATTGTTCTTTATTCCCAACATGATGAGTAAGGAAGGCACTGGCAACTATATGTGTAAATTATTAGTCAGTTGAGTTTCAAGCAACAAGGATACCGTAGTTTTGTTTTTTTGCCCTCCAAGACATTCCACATGCTATTTTAGTTGATCACTGTTGTGTTATGATTTGATTATTTTTCCATTGATCATGACATAATATGGTAAAAAAAACATGGTAATATTATTTTGAACATCTTTGCAAGTGATGAGAGTTTCAAAACGGATTACATAATTCACACACAATCATGTTTCTGTTAGCCTCATATGTAATGCCAATCTTTATTTTTCCCCAAAATAACTTGTGATGGTAATATCATGTTTATGTGTCTCTGTGATACAGGTATGCATATTTGCATATGGTCAAACTAGATCTGGTAAAACTTATACAATGATGGGTAAACCAGGAATTGATCAAAAAGGGAACATCTAGTCTGGCATCACAAGCATTATCTAACATAACATCATCACGCTACAGTCATCTAGCATCATCAAGCCTATAGTGTCCTTATAGGGAATAGAGATAGGGAAAAAGAAGAGGGAGAGAGAAGAGGGGGAGCAAATGACAGCGAGGGGCCAAGAGTCCTCTTCCATATGCCTTTGTCCCCTCTTTTATAGGGGAGGAGGGAGGTGGTTATTTTCATATATTCCCTCAGCGGGGTTCATAATTATAAATGAGCCCCTCTAATTTCTAAATAGGCCCTAAATGCTCACAATTTTGCCCTTATACCTAATAATTGAGAATTTTTCACAAACTTAGGGGGTCTCTGTTGGGGGAAGGCGCCCTGACGTGAACCCCCATCCGTCTCATGACCTCGCTCCAGGCCTTGTGATTGACTGCACCGCGGGCCATGACCCCCGCAGCGAAGGTTTGTTCCTCCTTGTCCCTTCTTTTCAGGTACCATCAGCAGGATTTGACTCGAAGGCCAAGTACCGCAGGGAGAGACGTGAAGGTTGATGGTGGATGAGAGGACCTCTGATCAGCGTGGCGAGGGTTTGCCGGGGACCGCAAGTGCAGCCCGACTAGGAGCAGGCGGCGGTCCCCATCTACCCGATTAGGGCTAGGTGTGGTTGGGTAGGGGTACGGAGGATTACCTGATAAGGACATGAGCTCCATGCATACGACCATGCTTGGAGACCGAGGCGACATACCCACTGCCCCCTGTCACGCACGCCATCGTCTTCTCCCCTACGGACGACGACATCACCGGAGTCGATGGTGCTAGCTGGTGACTTTGAGCAAGCTGATCTTTTTCGTCACAAGACAGGTATGCGAGTAGACGATGAAACTGAGCGCGCAATAACATGACTAGTCCTGCTTGTAGGAGGTCAAGGAAAAAAAATGGCACGTCCCGTCAGCCAAAATTGACTGAGCTTCTGGATGTGCTACACGTCATAAACATGGTAAATATCTGCTTTCTGTTTCCTTTCCTTTTTTCGAACCAACAAACATATGATTATGATGATTCCAGTGCAGTCACCGTATGCTGCATACACCAGATAATCACTGAAGCTAACAAAGCAATATCCACGTGTGTACCTAATCAATCCATGTAGATTGACGTGGACTTAACAAAACAAGCTAGAAATACTAATCACCGAAGGAGAAATCCAACCCCTTGAGCAAGCTTTGTCTTGCCAAGTTGCCAGCCCAGAAGATCCATTTTAGCTTGCTTGCCTTAGCAAAGAAAAGCTCACATGCACATGCCCTGAGATAACTGGCTGGAAACATTATCTGAATAGTTATTACAAGAGTCAAAATTTTGGCCATTAGGCTAGATGAACTGCAAAGCAGCATTTCCAAGCTGAACTGATTCCCAGAGCGCAGGTAGCTCGTGCTCATTTCCAAGCCTTGCGGCCCTGAACTGATTCCCCGGGGCGGTGATGCAAGATGCAAATCACTGTCGTCATGATGGACGATGCACATGAGACGGCAGCGGCAAGACGCGATTAACCGAGATACCAAGACGCAAGTAGCATTTGTCAAAAAAAAGAGCGCAAGCTTCTGCAGATTCTCGCTCCGTGTGAGTATGAGAGGAGAATTGAGCGTGATTATATATTTATATTGGTTGAGTTTTTGACTGAGTCAGGGTGGATATTTGACGTCCTATCGTGCTCAATTAAAATTAGGTGCAACCATACGGAGCCAGATTGGTGTTATTTTTTTGGGTCTTGACCCACTTTACACAAGTAAATGAACCAGTCCCAGTCATATGAGACATTGCATATGTCGTATAAGTATTGGCTCCTGGATATTGGCCCCAGGCCCAAAAAAACCTCCATCGGTCAGCGGACAGCCGACAGGAAGCCCAGGCCGGAGACTTGTCGGCTCCTGGTATTGGCCCTCCAGAAGCCGATAGGCCGCTGTGCTCAAATGCTGCATTTCCAATTAATAATTAAAATATATTACCTCTACATCTCTATCTCTGTCTTCTCTTCTCTACAACTAAAAATTATTGCCATGGCCACAGGCGCGTCCATATATGTACTTATTTTTTTCCCATCCACACATATTCAGTCATGCATGATCATGTACATATACGTACGTGTATATGAAAAGGTTTCTTGCTTCTTGATTAGCACATGTGATCTGGCCATTGAGGTAGGCACTTCAAGTTTATCTCAAAACCTTGAATGGCAGCAGCCTGGCAGGTGGGCCAAGTCCATGAGCCGTATATACTCGAGGTGCATATACGCCACATATTGGAGATGTCGTATTGCATGGCCATGTGCTGACTATAATTTAGTTTAATTTGCATATGGGAATGGCAGCCACGCATGAGCTTTCTGGCATGTACATTGGAAGCATATCTCTTATATATCTAATCTTGTTAGGCTCCTGGATGGCCGATAGCTATCTGTCAGCCCTCCAGAAGCCGATACGCCGCTGTCCTCAAATGCTATATTTGTAATTAATAATTAAAATATATTACCTCTACATCTCTATCTCTGTCTTCTCTTCTCTACAACTAAAAATTATCGATAGACGTTTCCTGAAATTCACAAACTTTTGCAGCGGATAAAATCACGGGTATCGAAATTCCCGGTCCCAAGCGGAATTAGTGCACTTGTCGAAAATTCTGGTGAGGACCGAATTTTCGAATCGCGGAGAGTAGTGAACTAACTAATTATGAATTGAAATGCTCAAATACTAAATTGAGTTCACCACACAAGTAGAGTAGGAGTACTAAGTGAATCCACGCCTTTTACTTGCTTCTTCACCTACACACAATATATATCTTGCCACCACAACAAATAATACAATCACAAATCACAAGCACACAGAGACACAAGTATTTATCTCGAGGTTCGGTCACACCACAAAGTTATGCCTACGTCCCCGTTGTTGAGGCGACCACAAAGGTCCTTAGAGTCTCTTTCAACCCCCCCTCTTCCCAAGGGACCACAAAGATCAAGCCGGGGTTTCCACTAGAATCAAGGGTAATACAAACTTCTCGGGCGCCCTCACAAGTACGAGTCACAAGCGTCACCAGGCAACACCTAGCTGGCTAGTGTTCCAAGAACCAAGAGTAATAGAGATAAAATCAAATCGCCGTCGGGTGCCACAAGTGCTCAAGAGAAGGATCTTACTCCCGGAGTTGAAATCCACGAAGAACTCACTCCAATCTCACTCACAAAGATGGGAATCCAAGCAAGAGTGAGAGGGAGTGTTGGAGTTTGAGAGAGAGAGCTTTCTTTCTTGATCCAAGGTTGCAGGAGATGAAAAGTGAGCAAGAGAGGGAGAAAGAAGGGGGCGTGCGGCTCCCTTAACCCCATAGCCGGCGCTTGTGACCGTTGGAAGAAGTAGATCTGAGCTAAACAAGAATTTCTTGGTTAGAAAAGAAAATTGTTGGTTGAGGTCTTACTGTTGGGATGAGGGCCACCAGATTTTCTTGTTGAGGCATGATAATTGCTGGTTGAGGGTTCTCTATAGGAAGGAATTGAGAATTGATCAAAGGAAATATTTTGTGGGGTGTCTAGGATTGATCAATTAATCACTTAGGGCACCTACAGGTAATATAATTTTGATACCTCTTTATAGTACGACATCCTATAACTCAAGTGAAGTTCAAATGAAATATCAAATTAAAAGCGAACTTCTCTAGAATTGAAGCGTGACGCCGCATCTTTCTTTAAAGTAATAATTGAGGGGTCTCACGTTTCAATTGCACTTTTCACATTGGTATTTAATTGAAAATCTCATGAAACATCATTAGCTCTTTATATGCATCGTCATCTATTCACCAAAACCCACAAATAGGATTTAATGCACTTACACTGGCTCACGCCTCGAGTGCGCCCGCTGGCGCCACCGGAGCCACAGCCACGGGATTGCCGCCCTCTGGTCCTGCCACCTCCTCCCCGGTGCCAAGCGCTGCTAGTGGAGCGAAGGTAGCAGCCGGTGATAGGACGCTAGCGGCCAGGGGCCTCGACACCAGCACTGCGTCGCTCCCGCCATCCGGCTTCAGCACCACCATCATCTTCAGGGGAGCTGGCACACGGTTGATGGACCTCGCCGTCTCCACCGCAGCCGAGGAGGTGCAAGCGCGACGGCGGCGCGGAGCGGTGGCGGAGGCACAGTCACTTCCCATGGTGGCTGGATATAGGTGGGGATTGGCTGCTCTCGACCTCTCGTGCTCTGGGACTGGCTCTGGGGTTTTGGAGGAAAAGGAAGAAGAGGAAGAAGGTGAGACCGTGAGATACTGAGATGGTGAAACGACTGGGGCTTTATAGCAAAGTGACATTGGTCTCGACTTCGAAGTTGGGATCTCGTCTTCTTATAGTTTCACCCTTCCTATGTCTTACTTTTCGTTTTAGTCTTGCATTCGAACTACTACAGGACGGCTTGGATTAGAATATTTTAGTCCTGCAATCGAACTACTACCGGATGGCTTGCATTAGGATAAGACCGAGTGTTTCTGTACCATTCCTTCTGTCTATTTTGAGATCGACAAAAAGAAAATTTTAAAATATATATTATATTAATGTATGTATGTCGCATAATTTTTTACTCAATGAATATAGTCATAAATCATGTTAATTTTAATTAGATCTATTTTAAAAAAATCATATCTCTTATTGGTCTCTAAAGTAGATTAGATGAAATTTTACAAACTTTGATAATTTTGAGAGTGGCAGAAAGAAAATCAGGTCTGAAGATTCTGAATTATTGTTCCATCATTAGTTGAGTGTACCTCAGAGCCACAGTATTTATTGATAGAATTCTCCTTTCAGAGAGCCAGCTCAGCAATGCTATTGAAGAGCTGAAAGCTACTAACTTGGACTTGACAAGGCGTTGTGAGTCTCTAGAGGAGAGCTTCAACAAGGAAAAGTCCGAAAAACAGGTGAGGGGGTGATCTTGTTTCACTGTTGTGATAACTTCTATATTTCCAACTGGAGTTTTATATGCTCAATTGTACATGTGGTGAGATC